TGCCAACTTCTCATTTGCCAGGACCCCATCTGGTTAGACCTGTGTATGCCCATGCACGTTACATATATGTCTAGGCATACATGTGCATAGATCATGTTAATTTAGAATCTTTGTTTTCTTAGTGTCCCCATCATCTGTGACTCAAATACTACTTCTGCTTCCTCTTGCACTATGCTTGCTGATCCCAGATGAGAAAGATTTGATATAGGTAACTCACCATTTAAAGATGATTGTTCCAAGTTCTCTCAATCTTTCATAACATCTGGATATGGGTCTGTGTATTTGTTCATATCTTTTGCAAGAGGAAGTTTCTCTGATAATGGGTGAGCAAGGCACTAATTTATGACTTAGTGGATTGCCATCAAGAGTCATTCTATTGCTGAGCTTTAGATTTTAATTTAATTTCAAACTTTTAGAAGGGTAGTATTTGTTATTACCCTATGTCCTGGGGCTATCAAGTCTCAGGTTCACCACAGCAGTGGTGGGTATAGGTTTTGTCTCAGTGCATAAACCTGAAGTCAAATAAGACATTGGTCAGTTACTCCCACAAAACTTGTGACACCATTGCACGAGTGTATCTTGAAGGCCAGGCACCATTGTAGATCAAAGACTTTATTTCTGTGCTTAAATTTCTGCTTTGGAGTGTACAAAGTATCATTATGTAGAAAATACACTAAATATAGAAGTTAAGGCACACTGGGCACACTGTAGGCACCAGCTTGGCATCTCCATTTTCAGCGGATAACTGTAGATTTGCTTTCAGCAGTGGATCTTACTGTCAGTGTTTGGAGAGCAATCCATAGACATGTCAGTGAATGAGTTGTTTTAGTTGTCAGCATGAGGTCCCTTTATCTAACAATTCAATTTAACATAACCCATCCTGGTACTGAGGGCTTCCTTTGATGATGGCCAGCAGGGACTGTGTCTTCTCCACTATTTTGCAATTCCTTGTGGATTGTCTTCATGTCTATTTATGTTTTAAAAAGCTCTACTTCATTATGTTTCTGTAATACCCTTGTAACAAGCCCTTGTTTTGATCTGTATCTTTCTACATTCCCTTCTTCATCCCCTTCTTCTCTCCCTTAACACTACTTAATTCTCCCATTTGGGTCAGCACATCATCCCATAACAATTTTTTCTATTTCAATTTTCTAATGATATCTATCTGTCCTTACCTCCTCCCTTACCCTATAACCAATTTCTTCGGTTCTGTGGATTGTTGATTTGTTATCATTGACTGAAAGACTAATATTCACAAATAAGTTAATACATATCATATTTGTCTATCTGGGTTTGGGTTACTTCACTCAGGATGATTGTTTTTTCTAGTTTCATCAGTATACCTGTGGCATTTCTGATTTCATGATTTTAAATTTTTTTTTAATTTCTCTCATACATCTCAACTGCCACCTCCTCTCTCTCCCCTTCTCCTAGTGTTTCTATCTCATTTCTCCTCCAAATCAACTTTCCTCTCCACTTCCTATAAGAAAAGAACAAGTGTCTAAGTGAAATCACCTGAACTTGCCATAACAAGATGCAGAGTCTAAGCATGTATCCTCATTTCCAGGCTAGAAAATGCAACCCAGTAAGAGGAAAAGGGTTCCTCAAGCAGGAAAAAGACATAGAGACACCTCCATTTGCATTGCTAGAAGTCATTTTTTTTAAACCAACGAATAATATCCCATTGTGTAAATATACCACATTTTCTTTATTCATTCTTCAATAGAGAAATTCCTAAATTATTTTACATATCTGAATATTATAAATTGAACAGCCATGAGAATGGTTGAGCATTTATCTCTGTGGTAAGATAAAGTGACACCAAGATATATATGTTCCAGAACAGTATAGCTGAATCTTGAGATAAATTGATTCCCATTTTTCTGAAGAAATGCTAAATTGATTTTCATAGTGGCTACACATTTCCACATCAGCCTGCAACAGATTTGATTTGTATTTTCCTAATGATGAAGTATAGTATACTGATATTTATTTAAGAGTTTCTCAGCAATTTGAGCTTCCTCCTTTGAAGATTTTCTGTTTAGAAATACGCTTCATTTTTTACCTGGGTTATTTGTTTTCTTAATATCTAGTTTCTTCTTTATATATTTTGAATATTAGCCTTCTATTTGACGTCCAGTTGTTAAAAATATCTTCCCAGTCTCCAGGCTGCCACTTTGAATGATGTTTTCAGGAACTTCTCAGTTTGATACTCAGGAACTTCTCAGTTTCAAGAAGTTTCTTTAACAAAAAAAAAACAACTTGGATTCTTTGTGAATTTTACAAAATTCGCTACAGTTCCACTCATCTCCCCATCACCTCATACCTGGGCCTTCAGTCTTGCAATGTACTTCTCAGAATAACACACACAGACACACAGACACACAGACACACAGACACACAGACACACAGACACACACACAGACACAGACACACACTATCTATGCATATATATATATATATATATATATATATATATATATGTATATATATAATCATGGATAATCATGGAAACTGTAGCATGTCACAGTGTGGCCGACACTACATTCCTTTGTTCATACAAGTTCACCTGTAAATGTTCATTGCAATGAGTCATTGGTGTGGCTCAAGGTTTCTGGCTTCAGTGATACCATCAATATTGCATCATCACAAAGACTCCTCCCGGTTTTCCTGTTGTTACCCTGTGTCATGGAGATCCTGCAGCTTTGGATCAGCATGATTGGCACTTTCCCAATCATTCCCAGGTGGTGGTTGAACTCAGCCTTGGATCCGGGCCTGCTGGTACCTGAGCTGGTCAGCGAGCTGCCTCTTCCTTTCTACAAGAGCAAGTTCTCCAGCACTGCTCCAGTTAGGCCATCCTATGCTGCCATGAGAGTGTAGCAGGGGCCGCTCTCCTGCTCTCATGCCCTCAGGGCCGCTTTATCTATGGGCACAGAGCACATACACCCTCAGAGGAAGCTCCATTTTGCTTACCAGTAACGGCACAGAGCCTACTCTCTTAGGTGCTGCAGCCTCTAAGGGATGGGCCATCTTACCTGTTCTGATAACCTCAAAGCTGGTTCATCTGTGCCATTGCCATCAAAGCCAGCTCCACTGTAATGCCCAGGTGATTTACAGGGGCCCCTCTCCCAAGTGCTATAGCCATTGAGGGGGCACAGCTACTTTTCAGGCTCCTATGCTTTCAGAGGCTGTTCTCAAAACTACCACAAGTGGCAAATGAGGAACGGGGGATGGCATTATCTTCACATCCAGACCACCTCACCACAGGAGAGTCAGAGGGCCATCTCTCTGAGCTATCATCCTCATGACTGACTTACCACAGACTAGCCACCAGGGCTAGTTTCACTGTTATGCCTGGGCAAGGCACAGGGCCTGTTCTACCTAGTGCTACCACCTGTCAGAGGTCGGCCAGTTCTCTAGAATGCCCCAGACCTTAAGAGATGGTTCCAGTTCTGCACAGCCCATGGACATTCATGTGGATCAATTTAGTTTCTTCTTCTAAGTGCAGCCATCCAGCTTTTACAGTTCCATCTGTTGAAGATGCTTTCTTTACTCCAGTGTGTATTTCTGGCTTCTTTATAAAAAATCAGCTGTCTATAGGTGTTCCATAGGTGTGTGGATTTATACCTGGATTCCAATGAACAACAGATGTCTTTAATGGTAGTACCATTTTCTGTAGCACATTATGAAGTCATCAATGGTGATACCTCTTGCATCTATTTTATTATTCAGGGTTATAGCTATCCTGACTTTGCTTTGTTTGACAAGATTTGAAATTTTTCTCTTATTGGTCTTTTTGTTTATTTTGATTTTTGGATTTGGTTTTTTTTTCTGTCAGAGAGAATATGCATAAAGTTGGATAGGTAGGAAGGTAACAGGGCTCTGGTAGGGTAAAGATTGTCAGTACGGCAACCTGTCCTTGTACCGTCTACATAGCTAAAATTTTCTTTCCTTTCCTGATTTCACCAATAGAAATTACTAATGCTGATATAACTTGCCATTCTTTCTGATGTTTCTGCTTTTTCATCACACTATGTGATTCCTCTCCTTTGTTCAACTCTGAGTAAATGTAACGTTTACTCATAACAGTGTGGTGTCACATAAAATCTGGTAAATTAGAAGAGTATCTCAAAAGCAAACAGAAAAAAATGACACTGAAAAATACAAAATTACATATATATTCATGACATGTAATGAATACAGCCATGTGTGATGAATTATATATGAAAAAGGAAATGACAAACATAAAATTCAAGACCATGATTATACTTTTTATTCGATATTTTACTTATTTACATTTCAGATTTTCCCTTTCCCCATTTCCCTCCCCCCCCATTTATCCCTTATCCCATCCCTCCTCCTCCTTTTTTGCTTTTATACCATTTAGATTACATGCAAGTATTAAGATCAGTTCTAGGTTGAGGAACTAGTAATACAATAGATGAAAATAGTCATATTTGATATAAATGATGCAATTGTTTCAAAGTGCATAGTTACTGAGACTACAAATGTTGGTTATTAGTTCTGCATTTATATTTTATAAATGATATCTCATAAAATGACACCTATTTTAAGTCTAAATAATTAAACTTTATAATATAGAGTGATGAGGTTTACAAGAAGTGAGAATAGATTAGAACTCAGCAGATAGTGTAGCTACAGTGATCCTCCCTAGATCTTCTTTGGTGGCCAAAGAGCATCTAGGCCCCCAGGTGGAGCACACTGGTGATATCCCTGGTGTGTTCCATAATAAAATGATACTTGTTTACATTGAAATGACAGGGTAGATCTGGAAAGGCTGTATTAGATTTATGATAATTATCTAATTCTGTCAAATGTGTAATTTTATTAGATTTCATGTTAGTTAAAATAGAAATTATTCACTGTGGTTTTTTCATCCACAAGGATATATATATGTATATATATATATATACATATATATATATATATATGTATATATATATATATATTCAGCTCCATATGGATTTTCTCATGTGCACTTAGGCTACTTCTCTCAGAGTCCCTGCTGCCGCTTGCACTGTGAAGGCTGCAATAGAAATCTGTCTCTTCACTTCATTCCAGGCCTTAGAAGCATTGACTTTGTTATTAATATCAAAAAGTGCATCATAAATCCCTGGGAATGATTCTCCTGCATACTTGTTGTGGCTGCTTGGAGCATAGATGATATGCCTGTTGATAAAACATATCCCTGTTCATTAATTGCACAAGCAATATACAAGAAAACAAAGGCATTATACATGAACGTCATATTCCTGATTTTCTGACTTGTTATTTGAACTTGAAATGCAATAATATCAAGGTACATTAACACACATAATTTTTTTTTGCTTTAATGAATAACTCAAAGTGGTTCAGACTTATTACTTATAATAGTAATGACAGTTAACCTGAATGTGCTTAGTAGTTAAAAAGGTGATTTAGACTTTTTTGTAGATACAAAAATAAACTCTATAATGTTGATATTCATTCGGTCTAAGGAGACAATTGATCTGAGAGGAAGAGTGAAAAACTAATTTCTCTTAATCACATTTGCACTAAGTGATAATGTTTATATTATACTCCCTGTTGAGTATAATACACACACATACATAGTGTGATCATGAAATTGTGTGTATAGCCAACCTACTGTGTAGTACTATAAACTTTTTTATTCTTTGGAAAAGATGTATTCATAATTTACTTATAGTTAACTTAATTCATCACAAATCATTACAAATCAAACTTTAGTCTTCTTCATGACCTAGGTATATTCACGGTTTCTGAAGTGGCCACGCAACTTCATGTACCGACTCAGGAATAGCATGAGATTCGTAATAAATGTTATACCAGACAACTTAATTCATTATCTTCTTAATTCAATCTCATTCAAGTTTGTAAAGGTTAGTATGCAGCCTCAACCTTCCTAATACGGAGACTGTTTCATGTTGTAAACATAAAATTATTTTGCGGCTACTTCATAACTGTAACTTTTGTAATGTTCTGAATCATAATGTAAATATATGATATACAGGGTATCTAGTGAGTCCAGTGAAATAGTCTTTTGACCCCTAAAGGGTTGACTGACCTACAGTTTGAAAACCACTAGCCTAGCATCATTAAGTCAGATTTTTTTATATTCTTTTTTGTTATTTATTTTTTATTGGATACTCTACTTATTTACATTTCATACATTATCCCCCTTCCCCATTCACCCCCCCCAGTAACTTCCTATTACATCCCCCTCCAGCTGGAAGGATGTTGGAAGATGTACCCCAACCCATCCATCCACTCCCCCCTCCCCACCCTCTAATTCCTGCACACTAGTGCATCCTGCCTTCAAAGAACGAAGGACCTCCTCTCCTGCTAATGCCTGACAAGGTCATCCTCCACTGCATATATTCTTTATTAAAATAAAACACAAAGACCCCTGGCCTAGTTTCTAGGAGAGTTTTTGTACTCTTTTGAAACTGGTGAGATGAACATCTCTTCTCTATTTCTTTTGTCATCCTAACTCTCAAGTGATGAGGCTGAATAAGGTCTGCTTACCCTGTTTTAAGGCTTTGTCTCCACATTCCACCAACAAAATTGTTCCAAAGACTATGAGTCACAGTGAGACTATCACAGCAATAATCCTCTATCAGTACAAGTCTTTTGTATGACTTTTTTCTTGCTATGACAATATATCTTCCAAAATTAACATAAAGACTAAGGCGTATTTTTATCTCACAATTGAAGGGTACAGACTACTATGGTGGAAGAGGTATGGCCACAGAAGTGTGAGGAAGCTGAAGCATATTGCATTCATGGTTGTACAGCAGAGAGATGAATGCTAGGGGTCCATTCCTGGTGATCATGTCTTAATGCTACCTACACCTAGTGTGTGAGACACTAATTTTGTTAAAAATGTTGGCTAAAAATAAATAACCTCACACCCAGAGGTTTGCTTCTTACTTGATTATAAATGTCATCAAGTTGACTACAAGATTAACCATCAGAGTGTCCAACAATTCAAAGTGATTTTAAAAAAAAAAAAGGAATAAGGCTCAAGGTATCATAGAACTTGATTTCTAGGCACACTACAGAGCCCTGTACCAAAAAAAACCCACACAAAACAACTCATAAGTACATGAAAATAGAAGTGATGACCTAGAAATAGACCTTCACATTCACAAAAATGTCAAAAACAATATTCATTGAAGGGAAAAAAGCCTCTTCAAAAAGTGGTGCTGGGTAAACTAGATAAATGAATACAATTACATCCTTGTCTCACTGTGTAGAATTATCAATTTCATAATAAATAACAGACTATATGACTTAAATCTCTAATAATGCTACAGAAAATAGAGAACATTTCAAGATGTAGAATTTGATACGGACAAGGACTTTTTAAAAAGGACTCCAATTGTTAACAAATAGTGCCAAGAATTATCAAAAGCGATTTAATGAAATTTTAATAGTTCTGGGAAGAAAGAGAACAATCAAATGAAGAGAATGCCAATGAAATCTGAGAAAAATTTTTACTAATTAAACATGTGCCAGGGCATTGAAATCTAGAATATACAAATAGCATATTTATTAAACAACCAAACACTGGCAAATGAAATAAACATACACTTCTCAAAAGATGAACAACAAATTTCCAATAAACATAAAAAAGTGTTCAACATATGAATAATCAGGGAAATTTCAATCCAAACCAGCTTGGGATTCTTTCTCTCTCCAGTAACTACCAAACAAGAACAAATCCTGGTGATAATGAGGAAACCTATACAATAATAGTTGGGGTGCATTTAGTCCATTTACTACGGGAATCAACATGAAGGTACCTCAAGGACTCTATGAACAGAACTACCATATGACTCAGCTACACCAGTTCTGGATGTATTCCTGAAGAACTCTCTACACATGATAGAGTTAACTGATTAACTGTGCTTATTGTAGCACTATTCATTGAAGGCAAGTTCTGGAACCACCATAGATATTAGTCAATGAATTAATGGAAAATGAGGTGGTAAATACGACCAATGTAATTTTATTTAATCACAAGAAGAACTAAATTATGCTGTTTGCTTAAAAGAAATAGATGAAACTAGAAATCATCATACTAAATAAAATAATCAATATGCAGAAGGATAAATACATGTTTTCTCTAACTTGCATTTTCTAGAATCCTAAAAGACCCTTGAATATCAGATGGGACACAGAGGAATGAAGGAGTGTAGTAGGACTGGGACAAGAGAAAACATGCTGAGGGTAGTGAATAAGACTGGGAAGGAGGACAAACTACATGGTATGTCCCAAAGAAAACATTTATGTAGAACATAGTCCTCTATGTAAAGTGGGGTTATTTCATTAAAATAGTTTGAATATTAAAAACAAACATACTGAAATATTTTTATACATTTTAAAACAACATTAATCATCTTTCCTTACCTGTAGAAAGGCCTCCCTGGTAAGCCTAAAGGATCAATGAATGCACGTTCCAGATACATCAGTTGGTCATTCATAATTCTCAGTAATATGGGGCTAAAAGTGAAGTTAATAAAGTTATATGTTTATGAAAATATGAATACTGCCTGGCAAAGTAAAGGTTTACAACAAAACAAACCTCATTGGTGCATTTTAAAAATTTATACCTTTGATATATTCTGGAGAGTCCCCAAAATTTCCTACCTCCTGATTTGCCTGTTTCTATTCTTAGATGAAATGTCTTACAGTGGGGAGAGGGAACTTGTAGAGTCCAACTCCAGCAGAAAGACAGAGCATCGAGGGAGGGATGGGCTTACTATCCTACAGTCAAAATTCTGACACATAATTGTTCCTGTCTGAAAGAACTGCAGGGATGGAAATAGAGAGGAGCCTGAGGAAAAGAAGGTCCAGCGACAGGCCCAAAGTGAGATCGAGCTTAAGGGGAGGCCCCAAGGCCTGACACTATTACTGAGGCTATAGAGCACTTACAAAAATGAACCTATCATGACTGCCCTCTGGAAGACCCAACAAGCAGATGGAAGAGTCAGATGCAGATATTTGCACCCAACCAATGGACAGAAGCTGTTGATCCCTGTGGTTGAATTAGGGAAAAACTGGAAGAAGCTGAGGAGGATTCAACCCTCTAGGAGGACCAGCAGTCTCAATTAACCTGGACCCCCAAGATCTCTCAAGACACTGGATCACCAACCAGGCAGCATACATGAGCTGATATGAGGCCCCAAACACATACACAGCAGTGGACTGCTGGGTCTTTGTTCAGTCAGAAAAGATGGACCTAACCCTCAAGAGACTGGAGGCCCCAGGGAGCTTAGAGCTTAGGTGGGATGGGGGTGGGGTGGGACATCCTCATGGAGACAGGGGGACAGGGAGGAGGTAGGGAATGTTAAACAGTCACGGGGTAGACCGGGAGAGGAATAAAATCTGTAGTGTAAAAGAAAAAAGAAGAAAAAATAATAAAACAAACAAAAAAGAAAAAAATTACACCATGTCAGTTAAGAAAATCAGTAACATAAAAATAGAACACATTTATTAATATATTTAGAAATATTTGCAATAATAGTTCATAAAAATGAGGTCATAAATTTTAAAAACCCCAAAAGTACCCAAGGAGGACTTCTCCTTCTCAGATGTGAAGGGAAGGGGTAGTGGGGGAGGGTTCTTGTAAGGGGGCAGGACTGGGAATTGGCCGGCTGTGTTTGGGATGTAAAGTGAATGAATAAATAATTTTATGGGGAAAAAGAGAATATCAGTCATATTATAGGAAAACTTTATGTTGAACAGGTTGTACTTAAGAATTTTGAAATATTATGACTACTACTTTAGTAAAAAATGAGGTCCCGGTTTCTAAAAAGAGCAAAGGGGGTACGGAAATTCTGAAGGGATGTAAAGGCAAAGATGATCCAATTGCATTATAATGTCTAAAGCTAAGGTAATAAATTAAAAACAAGTAACAGCATGTATGCTCGCCATGTCAGAATACCCATAAAATATTATTCAATGAAAACATGAGCTATAGAACAGTAACATGCTGTTGCGAAATGTGATAGTAACTTTAACGCATATAGAAATGAGACTTAATTAGCCTGGGTTTATAATTACTCTCTATAATTACTGTCAAGATGAGAGATCCTCATCAAAATTGAAGTGAGAAACTATTAATTTCTATTAAGTTTATGCAAACTACAAATATTTAACAAATATTTGACATGGTATAATATTCTTTCTGCTAAAGAAGGATTGTCAAATATATGGTCCTTACTTTATATTTTTTATCAGCATTCAAGTATCACACAACAAGCCCTCTTACAGATTTCAAATTCCTAAGGAACAATGTGTTGTTAAGGGTGAGGTTGTAATTGTCAACAAAAATGAATCAATACAATTAAGAATCCATCAACAAGTCCCGGGTAGCTCAACTGAATTTAGTACTTCAATTATGCCATGGTACAATTACTAAAAATTATCACTTGAATAAATAGCATTGTTTTGTCCATTAGTCTATCTATATTTTCATTTTATATTACCTTTAATTATAATAACATTAAAGAGTCCCTTACTCATGTTAATGCTTTTATAGTAAGTTTTAAATTTAGAGTAACCCTGCACATGATACATGATTATAACTTCATTTTGCAAACTGAGGATCAGTTTGACAGTTTATATTTTTGGAATGAAACAGGGTCAGTATTGTAGCATTTTCAAATTCTTATGGTTTGGTTTTACACAAAATTAATCCGATTTGTTCAACAATTCTATAAATATCGACTTCACAGTATTATTATTTCTTCTTCTTCTTCTTCTTCTTCTTCTTCTTCTTCTTCTTCTTCTTCTTCTTCTTCTTCTTCTTCTTCTTCTTCTT